TGTCTTGTCAAGAGTTGCTAGGAATTGGAGGTATAAATCTGCCTAATTATGGGAATCAGTTGTTAGGGCTAAACAATATCACTTCGTTTTATTGTTCAGAACCTAGGCAAGAAGAGAGGAGTTAGTTTATTGGGATCTCCTTGTAAAGTGCAACAATTGTCAAATCCCACAAGGGTCAGGTGAAGTAGGGGCTGACGAGGCTAATGGCAATTAAGAAGTAAATCACAAATCACTGTCTTCCTTAATAAAGTTAGTTTCTTCTTTAATAAAGTTAGTTCCTTTAAGGAAGGTAATTGAGAAATGTCTCCCCAGTGGTGTTGGTGGGACAGCTATAACTACTGCTCCAATCCTTGTTCTGTAAGATTCTCTAAGAATGGGACTCTGCCACCCAGGAAAATAATATTGGTCAGGGATATTTTAGTTGAAAATTAATGAAATTTACCTTAAAATGGCTTAAATAAGAGTGGCAGGGATGGGTAGGAGAAAAGGTAGAACTCACTGGTCAATTAATTAATGAAGAACAATGGGGAGCCTATGATACTGATGTCAAGTGATATCATCTGGACTCTACTCTCTATTGTTCATATCTGCTTTCTTCTGTTCTTGCTATATGGTAAGAGAGGCTTTCTCCATGTTGTGTCAAAGATAATCAACAGCAGATCTAGCCTCAGTAAAATTTTCATAGATGACTCTGGAAAGATTAGCTTGGTTCATATGCCTATCTTTAGGGCAGGGGAAAAATTACATATTAACAGATTAATCAGCTAAGAGAAAGGCATCTCCTGAAAGAATGGACATACAAAAACTGTGGTCTACTACATTCCACCCTTTGGCTACCTAGCATCTATATTTGTGCTTCTTTCAGTACATATAATTTTTTTAATGCCCTTAGACCAAGACAATGTAATTATCCCATGAACAACTCTCCTCAATGGGAGACATGCCAAGTCTCATCCAATTTTTGCATTTTGCTTGAAAACGAAGAGTTCTGGATAACCTGCATTTCTTTTGGTCAGGTCTGGATGTAACTCTTCATGTTACAGAATAATAAAGATAATTTTAAATAGTGCTATAGACTTAACAAGAGCAAGAGTACCCTAATTACCTAGTAGATGGGGTCTTTGGTCAGTTAATATAGTGGTCTTGAGTTTGCTCTCTGGAAGACACTCCCTTATCTCTTGCCCACATATAATGGGTACTGAAATTAAGCAATCAGATGCCTTTGTTTGCAAGGCTTCATGTTTCTGTCAATAAAATTCTCTTGCAATCTTAGTTGCCTGCGGGTCACTTTGCTTTTCGGTAACTCTGTGGTTTAGAAACCAAAAACAGAGATGGTATGTGAATGTTTTCTATCCTTTAGCAATATGTTTCAAGGTTGGAATGCCAGGTCTATCCTCCAGCCAACTAAACTTAACTATTTCTTTTTTGACCTTTGGAGCCAAAATTATAAGCTGAAGGATGAGTTTAAAGGAAATACAGCTAGGTTTTACATTTGTTCCCTTGCCCCCAAGTTCCATCTCAGTGAATGGCTTCTCACAACAGGACTAATTTGACAACCTTTGTCAGACAGGATGTATACAGCAAGAGATGCATGAGGTGATCAGGATCAGGTTTTTCCCAGGGTTCAAATGACATCTTTTACTCTGTTTCCAACTCCCTATTTTTGTTTGCATCAACTTTAGCTCAGGAGAAAGAATGTGGGTTTTTGCAAACCTGTAAACTGCAGGCTTATTTGATTCTCAGCCACATGGCTTACTGAGTTCATGTGGAAAGGGGGTGTCAAAAATACATCCTTTCTTTTGCATTCAGTTAGCTAGCTTGATCTGAAGTGCATCTCTTTCTTGTAGGACCTCACTAATGGACACACTCCAAAATCCTGGCGTTTTTCTACCAAATTCCTGAAAGCTTCAATCTTGATATAGTCATTGTCTAAGACCTAAAATTCAACGGGTTTCTTGCTTGCTACATACAACACAGTAAATATTGCCAAGGACCAAGGGGTTCTTATTACTGTGCATCCCACCTAGACTCAACAGTTCTACATTTCAGGGTATCTTCTTTGTTGACACTGAAACAATGTTATGTACTTGCCAGGAATAAAAGTCCAAACCTTGCTATTTTGAGATTCCGTACTCTCTTTCAGTTTAACAGTCTGTTTTGATTTTACATCAATTTTGGATTCAAGTTCAGGGAATTTTAAGTTTAAGGTATTTTTAGGCTCTTTTTATCTAGGATTTTATATGGTTGCTAAGGGTAAGTTCTTCACCATCATGGCCCTATTGGAGGGGCATCTGGTCAGCATGCTATCTGAATTTGTTGCTGAAAGGTCCGTTGTTGCTACAACTTGCAATCAATTCTCAAAGTGCCATTTTCCCTCTACCCTTACCTCAGAACTTAGAGGGATGTTAGTGTCCTCTCAATAGGATCCTTTACCCAACCCATGGATTCATACCACAGCCTCTGCCAGGAGTTTTCACCATCCTGTATTGCAGCAAACTCCTGGAAAGCAATTGGGCTCTTACTGTGAGTCACACTTATAAACCTCTTAAGGAATTCCGTATTTCCTTTTTAGTCCACTGTAGTCAAGTTAGTCAAGTAAGACACAGCAGTGGTTTTCAATACTGCCCGATCCTCTCAGCTTAACCGTATTATGCTGCCATTTCTACTTGATTGTTGCTCCATTAGGCAAATTACCAGGTGGGACCCTGGGTAGAAGCCATAAGCTCCCTGTTTTTGAATTCTGAAGTCTTCCTGGTTGTATCTATCCCTTACTCCAGTGGTTCTCAACCTTCCTAATGCCGCGACCCTTTAATAAAGTTCCTCATGTTGTGGTGACTCCCAACCATAAAATTATTTTCGTTGCTACTTCGTAACTGTAATTTTGCTACTGTTATGAATCGTAATGTAAATATCTGATATGCAGGATGTATTTTCATTGTTACAAATTGAACATAATTAAAGCATAGTGATTAATCACAAAAACAATATGTAATTATATATGTTTTCCATGGTCTTAGGCGACCCCTATGAAAGGGTCATTTGACCCCCAAAGGGGTCGCAACCCACAGGTTGAAAACCACTGCCTTACCCCATAGGGTTTCAACTCTGAGAAAAGAGCCAGAAAATATGTCTCAAACCATGGGCTCTTTTCTCCTCCAATACCATTGAGACTGCTTCCATTTTCTTCTAATAATTTCATTCTCAAGCAAGTTCACTCTGAATGCTGGCCAAAGCCATAGTTAAAGTTTTTGCTTAATTCCAGAGTGAGGTATTTTTTTTTTTTCTCAACAGTGCTAGCCCAAATGATGAGACTATCTCTGACTGGCTTCATTTTGTTAATTAACCTGCCCATTCCTCAGCCAATTATTATAATTGAGGAATAGGGTACTTTGGCTGGCCTGATTCATGGGTCCACCCTGTGGTATGGGACTTAGGACCAGGTAATAGATGGTTGCACCCAGGGAAAAAAAGGTAGGTCTATCCTATATAATAAAACCCCAATATGGAAACTGACTGAATAGCAGAATGACGGGTTGCGATGATGCCCACGGACCACCAGGGGGCAGACGCTCAAGGCAGGAGCTGGACTCATGGCTGGTGAGTGCAGTGGTGGTGGCCTCTCCCACCTCCGCTGTAGGCGGGCAGTAACGAGCAAGGGGTCCCGGACTGTGAGAGGGATGTCTGACTGCCGGCTTAGGCCCGGGAGGGATCAGGCCTAAGCTGGCAGGTGGACGTCCCCTGAGGGGTCCTAGACTGTGAGAGGGTGCAGGCTGGGCTGAGGGACCTCTTCCCCCAGTGCATGAATGTCGTGCACCGGGCCTCTACTATTAGAATAAACTTTCATCTCAGTGGCTTAACACAAAAGAATGCATATGAACTCTAACATAAGTATTCCTAACAGGCAGGCAGCTAACCTCCAAATGCTGATTCAGGAAACCTGAGTCCTATATTGTGGTTTCACCAACTTTAATGCACGGCTTCCAATACAAATGTGTTCATCTTCCTCAAGTTGTAGGGAATTGGAGATCTTGGAGGACTTCTCATGTGATACTTTTATGGACCAGAGCTGCAATAGGAACACATTACTTCTACTCATATTTCTAGTTACTTAGAACCTAATTGGCACATCTAACTAGTTAGCCCAATTGCAAGGGAGGTTGAGAAATAGAATGTGTGCCCAGAAAAAGAATGTAGTGACCACAAGAGTCCACAATTATCACTAAATATTTATTTTATCTCTCTTCATACACACAGAACACATCCCACCCCAATCTAAAGTTCTACCAAGTCACTAAGTCAAGCTTAAAGTCTAGATTTTAAAAAAATGTTTTTATTGATTTCAGAGAGGGAGGGAGAGGGAGAGATAGAAACATCCATGATGAGAATCATTGATCGCTGCCTCCTGCATGCCCCCCACTGGGGATTGAGCCCGCACCCTGGGCATGTACCCTGACCAGGAATCAAACTGTGACCTCCTGGTTCATAGGTCGATATTCAGTCGCTGAGCCACACCAGCTGGGCTAAAATCTAGATGTTCAGGTAATGCAGTCATCTTCATTAGGTCCAGATGCAACGTATGAACGAAAGACAAGTTTTCTCTCATATCACCCCATTTCCCAGGAAACACAATGATCATGGGCAGGTAACTACAAAATGCTCATTTAGAATAGAGAAAAATGTGACACTAGGCAATACACATGAACAGCAATAATGAAATATTTCACAGGCATTTCTCTCAAGGGTGGAGGAAGTTTTGATGAGAGCTCAATCTGGTCTTTCAAACTCCCTTGTGATCCTCTGTCCCTGTATGGACCCGATACTAGCCTCTGAAATGTTTTGTCCATCATTTCCCATGGCCACATTCCATTTAGGTACTGGGGAGCTGTAAAGCATTTATTTCCTACTTATGCAAGTTTGGGGTTGAACAGTTGCCTTGCTGTTTAACAACTGAACACTATTTGAACCAAGTTCATGATTTTTGGGGGAGGGGGTTAATCCTCACCTGAGGGTATTTTTTCCATGGATTTTTTAGAGAGACTGGAAGGGAGGAAGGAAGGAGGGAGAAAGAGAAACATCAACGTGAGACACATCAATTGGTTGTCTCTTGCACGTGCCCCTACTGAGGCTGAGATCGAACCTGCAACCCAGGTGCATGCCCTTGACTGGGAATCCAACCCACAACCCTTCGGTGCATAGGCCAGGCAACACTGGCCAGGGCCAGGTTCATGATCTGATTAGTAATAAAACTCCTTCAGAAATTAAGTCTTATGATATACTAGAGGCCCAGTGCATAACATTTGTGCATGGGTAGGGTCCCTAGGCCTGGCCAGTAATCAGGGCTGATCGGGGCTTTCCTGCTGCTGGCTGGGGCCTTCTTTCGTTCCGTGCCGCCCCCTGGTGGTCAGCGTGAGTGATAGCAAGCAGTTGAACTCCCAGTCGAACTCCAGAGGGGACACTTTACATATTCGCCTTTTGTATATATATATATAGATTTGCTTCTAGTAATTACTCCCAAAGTTCTTTCTTATATAATTGCCAAAACTGAATTACTTCTTTGCTTCCTTGCCCATGTCAATTTCTCTAAAACATCATCCCAGCCAACGTAATGGTCTTGGATGAGAAGGCCAAAGCTTTCATTTGATCTTTGATCCAGAACTAAATCTTAAAAGAAATTGTACTCAAGGCCTTTTCATTTCATTTTACTATTCAATGTCTAGAAAATGTCATCTTTACCAATCCTTCCAAATTTCTTATGCACTTTAATTTCTGTAATTATTTCCAAAGCTCTTTAGTAAAATTTATCTAAAAGTAAAATGTAAAATTCAAAATACACTATAATTTTGAACTGTTTCCTCTGGACTACAGCCTCAATAGATAGCTATTATGCTTTTCAATTATCACAGGTAACAGTTTTACCAATTATTTTCCCACTGCAAAGCATGGGTTTCCTTCTTCCAGCCTCTGATATCAGTTTCTTCAACATCTGCTGTATCATCACTAAAACAATACAATATATTTTAGGTTATTGTCTTAGTAGTACCCCACTTCTGATACCAATTTCTGGATTAGTTATGGTCATTCTAGTTCTTTTAAGATGTAAATTCTCAAATCTTAATTTTCTCTCCTATAAGAAGTCCAAAAAGAAGTGTTTTCTAATTTGGATGTGGTTTAGTCACATATGCTCCTTCTCTCTTCTGGCTCCAACATCTCCAACATATTGTTTTCAAGGTTTCTATACTCATTAGCTTCAATCTGATGGAGAAAGATGAAGGGAAAGGGAGGACCCCATTAAGCCTGGAAATGAGCATATCATGTCCATTCATATTTCATTGACTAAACGTCAACCACATGGCAAGGAAAATTGGGAAATTTATTCTAGCTGTACTAGTATATCCAGGAAGAAAAAATAAGTCTCATGAATGGCTGGTCAAGTTTCTGTCACAAGGTTCTAAAAAGAAAAAAATGCTAGATAAAAATAACAGAAAGTCACTCCAATCTATTAAGTTTGACCTCATCCTACTAGTGCCACCAAGATAATTTCAGTACTCTATAAAAGAACAATAACTCATTTTCTTCTAAATAATGGGATTACTTTAAAGACAGTATTTTTTATAGCATATGTACAGAATTTAGAATTAAGAATGACATTCAGATAACAAAAAGAGACATTGAACGTAGAGTATATTTTAAAGCCTGACTGTGAAGGAAATAGAGGGGAACCAGAAATGTGGAAGATTAAAGACAGAAAAGATAATAAATGGAAGAGAAAGATGGAATGGAACCAGGGAACAGATGAATAATTCATCTGACATAAGAACGGGGAGTATCTCATTCCTCTGATACTGGAGAAAAGCAAAGAAGTATCTAATTTTCTAGCATTTGGAAAATTGAAGGAGTTTGTGCCTAACACCATTAATTTTCTTGTAAAGTTTGAAGTAAAGTCATATAATGCAATGTGGCCAGAATTTAAAGACTGCAAAAAGTATTCTGGTGGGAAGGGAGGCATAGGTGCTGAAAGGCATGCAAAATAGGAGGGAGAAATCCAGTTGAGGTTATAGAACTTAAATTTGTGTGGTTAGATAAACAATGGTGCCTACTGTCCTGCACAGGAAATCGGCGAACACTGCAGGAGAGGAACAGGCAGATGGTTAGTACTTGGTGTGTAAACCTGCGATAGCACCCATTACACTATAAAGCCTCTGGAACCCAACTTTGGTTTCCGACACTATCCACACAGTAGGCACATGATGAATTTTTGCTTGAATGGATTGATTCAGTCATTGCCAATTCTGCCCTAGTACTCTATAGAGCGACTGGCAACTGCCCACATTTCATTCGGTATGCCAATGTTAAAAGGAAAAAAGCCCAAAAAAAGTCAGGCACGCGCCGCTAAACTTAGCAGCCTTAAGATGACAACTACGTCGGCTGAGACATACTTTTTATCTTGTGCCAGTACATCTGCCTTTGACGTCTGCTTCATTTACCTTATGCCACTGTGCTCTTCGTGGATCAGAAAACGGTAATTCCGAGCTGAACAAACTACGCTATTATTTCCAAAGTCCCGGAGGTTCTTCGGCCAACCAACAGCAAACTCACAACCCCCATCACAATGTTCCTTCCGAGAGGTGCCTGGACAAGGCTGTTTACGAGGCACACTTCGCAGGTAAACGCGGGAAAGGTGAAGGGCGGAAGAACCACACCGGGGTCAGTCCGCGAATCGTCTGCAAAGCCTGGCCCAGATCTTGTTTCCTTCTCCCCTTTGGAACTTTAGGTTTGTAGTGGTCAGACCTCACCTAATCGAACTCCTTCATATCACACAAGCATAAACGCAGGTTCAGGAAGTGTGACCCAAGACTTCAATTAGGCAAAGAGGGCTCTCCCCCTAACGCCAGGCCATCTCTCAGGAGCCAAAGCGCTAACTCAGGAGTTGGCAGCGAGGAGGGGGGAGGGAAAAGGCAGGAATAAAACGATGTACAACCGAGCAAAACGAGGCCCCACCTCCCGGATCTGGAGGTCCGGGCCTCCCGCTA